CCTGTGTCTCAGGAGCGCTTTGGAGTCTGTCGTCGCTCGGTGTTTGCAGAGTGCATCACATAAAGGTGGTGCATTCATGCTGATTTTTCCAGTTTCGCCTCTCCCCGAATAGAAGCTAAATGGTGTTCTAGTGTGGTTTTTAAAAAAAAATTAGGTCACACAGCTTTCCTGGGACACAGGAAAACTATAGCTCAAACTACAGGAGGTTAATAATGAAAACTGAAGAGAAAAAAAACTAACCGACTAGAGCCTATTGGATGCTGTGTAAGCAGCCCGTTTGAAACTTAATTTAGTTTGGGTGTCAGGAATGGTATTCGCTGTCCTCAGCTAAGAAGCAGGCTGAATGGACCTTAAGCTGTAAAGGTTCAGCGGATGAGTATAGACACTTTGAGTGGATAAGCCTTGTTTTTTTTTTTAATTTTATTTATATATTTTTTGAAGGTTGCTACGGCAATTAATTTATTCTATGTTTATCTCAAGCACCTTGGCGCAGGAATAGGAGAGTGATAGTTCTGTGTGTAGCTCTTCCTCCTGTGAATTAAATTCAGCAGCGAAAGGGTAAGCCTGTACCTGGCTCACCATGAATGACCAAGAGCTTAGTTTTATGCTAAATAACATAAATAGCTCTGGGAGCTGCCTTCTGGCCAGAAGAAACTGGAGGGAAGTGCATGGACAAATGCAACCTGCCAAGAGCAGATTATTGAATGGTGCCGAGCCGCGCGGTTGTTGCCTTTGCTGCCTGCGCCCGCTCGGGCCCTGGCACCGCCGAGGCGCTTGTCACGTGCCGGGAAGCCTTGCTGTTTGCTCTGGCTTGTCAGAGCAATTCACTGGAGGTGGAAAGGAATGAATGAAATGAGCGGAGTGGGCTTGCTGCATCTGTTCCCGTTTGCTCCGAGCAGGAGCCTGGTGCCTGGGATGCAGCCCCTAAGCCCTCGCGGCAGGAAGCTGTCGGTTCAGGGGGAGCGGTGCCGTCCCTTTCGTGCGACGGCTAAATCCATTTTAGGAGGTGAATTTGCCCACAGTTTGGCAGCTTGTGTATTTTTAAACATTTGTGCTATCTAGGCTCAGCATGTGCCAGTTGGGAAATGGGAATTGCTTGCTGACTTTGAGACCTAGAGGCTTGTCTTGTCCGCCTAAGGTTGCGTCATGAGAGGCTAAGAAAGTGGTTGGAGGAAGAGGAGGAGGATTTTTTGAATGTTACTAGTAGGGATTCCAAAACAAACTGATTCCAAAAACAAACTTTCTGAAGGACAGGATATATCAAACTGTAGACCACGAGCTGTTCTTGAAGTGATTTCTCCTCTTTATAAAGTTGGATACATTTTCCGGCCTGAAAGCATCTTATTTATCTTTTATTTTTTAATTTCTGTTTGATTTAGAAAATAAAAGAGGAGGAGATAAAGCATTAAAGTGGTTTAGCCCATCTCATAGATTTGATACTGGAATGTTTAAGTTTGAAACCGCTCATTTTGTTACTGGAGCAAAACAGCAAATCCCTGCGGGAACAATGCAGCTGTTAAGCCCTCTCTGGATCCCGCAGGGAAAAAGTCTTTAGGGGACAGGTCTGTTTATTTGAACCACCACTGAATAAAGTAGCCGAGTGTAGTAGCTTATTTTGAATGTTATGCCACAAACTGTTTAGAGGTGGGATTAGAGCAGGGGCAAGAGGTGGCTGTTGCCTTCCTGCCTGGTCCTGCTGTCTTGTGCAATCCATGGGAAATCTCAACAGTGCCCCAGGTAGCTGCATGTTGGAAAGGTAGATCTGGGATTTTGAATCCTCTTAGTGAGGATCATGACAGTTCTGTTTTTCCCAAATTCTTGAAAAGCATCCTTTTAAATTCTCTTTAAGGGATTACAACTTTTCTTCTTTCTACTTGTGCTCTCTTGCCCAAAATCCATGCGGTTTCTTTACAATAGCAAGTTTTCGTTCTGCTGCTTTTCCCCAGCAATTTCTACCGAACGTGAGGTGGTAACACCATTTTTCAGTCTTAGAGATTAGACGTGCCCTTCTCTTTTTTTGCCTCTGTCAATGTTTTAGTAGCAGCAGCTGCTTAAGTGGCATGTTCATACAAGTAAGAGGAATGCCTGCCTTTAAGACAGAAGTTGCCCTGTTTGCCTACGCTAGCAGCTCAAAGGATGCCAAAATGCATTATTTGATAGGGGCTTTGTTCGAGTGCATTTCTAAATATACAGGAAAATCTTGCCGAAGAACTAACGGGTTACAAGGTTTTGGGAAATGAAATATTCAGGTTTTGAAAACATACTCACGACTTTCCTTTATATCATTAAGCTGTAGGAAACTCTTTTCAAGTTTCACTAAGCATGTAATCTGTGTAACTAGTCGTTGTGTATGCCAGCACATTTTGGTGGTATAATTGTACGTGTGATCTTGAAAATTAGTTTTTTAGCTATCTCAGTTTTTAAAAGGAAGCTGGAAAGCTGGCATTTGCTTTTTTTCAGGGAAAAGAATATTGGTATTTCAGTTATGGATGAGTTTTTGGGTCCAGTAGCCAAGGAAATGAGAGTTGTTGAAGGTAATGTGTGCTATCAGTTGGGTGAAACAAGTAGTTCTTCTGTCCTTGTCTTTACAGCTCTGTTTGGCTTTAGCTTTAGCTGCTGCAATAGGCTACTGTGAGATGCAGTGTTTCCTTCGTTGCAAAAGCGTACCTGCTATTCCCGGAGTTGGAGCTGTTGGCCAGTGTTTGTGTCCAAACTCGTCCCAGTTCACTGGGGCACCGTGACTTCCAAAGAAGTGTTGAATTACTTAGTATTGCTTGGCTCCTTTTATTTATGGCGTGTTTTAAATGCTGCCCTTCAAGTGTTGAGGGTTGTTTCAAATGTCACAGATAGGTTTGCAAGAACATGATGGTACCTGTTGACGTGACCGGAAAGAGAAATGACTCAAAATTTGCCTGTCCTTTAGGGGCCTAGTTCTTGGTAAGAGAGATTAGCACTTGCTAGTTGCTATGAGGAGCTGGTAGTTTAGGGGCAGAGAAAACTGAATGAGGTCCTTAGCAGAGGGATTAGATTTAGCTACTTAAAATGAGAATTTAATGTCAAGTGTAGCCTAAAAATGGCAAGCAATAGTTGTGGGACATGGCTTGTTAGAAAGCACAAAATAAAGGAAACTTAATCCAAATGTAAAATCTAATTTGTGGCCTAAAATGAACACAGGGTTTCATAGTACCCAACTAAATTTAAAAGCAATTTAGAAGTAACTTCATTATTTCAAATTTGCATATGTAATAATTGGGTTTACAGTTATACACTAGTTTTAAAATGTGGGTTATAGAGATCCAGTGCAGAATCTGAGAATGCTGCTTTTTTACTGTAAAATGATTATTTTATTGTAATTTTGTATTCTGTTTGATGTATTGAGAGTTTATTTAGAAGTCTCTGTGTATGATGGGTTGGCTGATGGATCTCTAGCAGCTCACTGCTCTTCTATCTCAGGGCTGCAGGTAACACAGTTAACTGCTCTTGAGCAGAGCTTGTACTGCTGGGTTTATTGTGAAGAAAGGAAAGGTATTGGGTATGTAAGGCAGCTGAAACGGAAGGACCGCCTCCCACATTCAAATAGCCTCAGCAGGCAAAACTACCTAAATAAGTGTGCTTAGTGAAGGTTTTTAAAAACATATCTGTGTATATGTATATATATATACATATATATGTACACATACACACGCACACACATATATACTTCTCGATCAAAGCTTATGTTGAATATATTCAAGTATGCTTTCCTAAGAGTGAGAAGGAGTGGTAGAGCTAATTTCTGCAGAGGGAAGTAGATGTAGGTTTGTATCTATAGATTTAATTTGTGGTACTTAAGATTTCAGCTTTTTCCTAACGAGAACTATAAAAGTGCATGTGTGATTGATACTTACAAACACTGATAAGCTACTGATCCCAAAATAAATTCAAATATATTTTCAAACTTTTAGCTGAAAACATTTTACAATTCTGGAAACAGGGTCTTCATTTGGAAATAATCCAAGCTTGTCTGTGCCCAGAGATACTCTGTAGACATCTCGGAAAAAGTTAATACTCTAAATGAATAGAGGATGGTTTAGACATTAGTATGGCTGAACAGTATTGAGAAAACACATTAACTGTTAACAAAGGAAGAGGAATTGCAGCCCTGGGGGACAATAGGAGGTTGTGAACAGTGTAAGTCAACTCTGCTTATTCATAGCACCTCCTCTTCATTGAAAAGGAAATAGGCAATGAAGTGACCTAAAGTTCTCCGTTGGATTTGACAAAAGAACTCACGGGTTATTCATAAACCATATTTGAAACAATGATTCTAAAATCCTGTGGGTTTTTAGCATATCCTGAAATATTTTTTAATACTACTTACCTATGGATTCGCCTTACGCCAGTTGCTCAACCTGTTGGCAGTGAGGCATTCCCAAACTGAGCAACACACCAAGATTCCATTCCCTAGGAACGTGCAACTGAGGCTGGTGAGAGCAGGTCCCGGTCTTGTCCATACTGGGAAGATGGCTCTTGTGAGATGGTGCAGTCGTGACGTCCAAGAAGGCTTTCTTATGATATGTCTCTTGCCAAAAGATTGCTGTCCATCTCTAGTGCAATTTTCTTTGGTACTGGATTGCAGGAGAAACTTCCTCTGCTGTGAGGTTGTGCTTTTAATTAAAATCTAACCCAAATTTGCTTGTTCTGTTAATATTATATCCTTTGTGTTAGGGATTTGATACTTGTCTCCCCATGGGGAGAGTTAATGCAGTCGATTACTTCTGGTCTGGATAATGTAAGCATAGAATTAACAAAAGGTCTTCTAAGCACACATGCATATATGTGTGTGAGTGTATAAAACATATTTATATGTCGTATATAAATATATATGTGATTTATGCACATATGCTCTCTTAGAAACATGTTGTAGAAATAATTAAGAATCGTCAGTCTGTTTCTCAGGTTACTGCGCTCTCCGGCTAGAAAATAAAGCAAAGTTTTTTTTACTTTTTCTTTCTCCCTAGGATCGGAAACTGTCCAAGTCAGAACGACAAAGATTTAAAGAGGAAGCTGGGATGCTGAAAGGGCTCCAGCATCCCAACATTGTCCGGTTCTATGATTCCTGGGAGTCTACAGTCAAAGGAAAAAAATGTATTGTTCTTGTGACGGAACTCATGACATCTGGAACACTGAAAACGTAAGTAAGCATGGGCACGTCAACACACGTGACAAAGAGCGCTGAAAGTAGGTCATATTCTGGGGTAAGTTAGGATGGAATCCTTCTACTGACAGCTGAAGTTACCCAGGTAGATTTTTGGTCGAGAAGAGGCTGACAAGCACGGCCAGGTGTAGTGAGACATCCTGTGTGGAGCAGGATGTCACGTCCCTGCTGGTGGCCTCCTAGGAAGCGCATACAGGAGAGCCTGCAGCGCGCGGGAGTTCAAGAGGGCAGCACTGGCTCTTCACTTCTCCCAAAATCTTCCATTTTCCCTCCAGCTGCCGCCTTTTTGGAGTGTAAGCTGCTTTGTTAAGCTCAAAGCCCTATCTGATTCATCTCCCACTGTTGGGTGTAACGACACTACAAATAATATGTACAGAGAAGAAAATTCATTTAGTTTAAACTCCACAGAGTAGTACCTAACAAAAACCTGAAATCGCTGCTGAAACTCAAGCCGATGCCTGGAGTTTCAAGCTGTGAAGTAGCCGAGTGAAACCGAATCTGTCCAAGAGTGTTAAGGAGACCCTGGGAAATGAACCTGCTGCGAGAGCCCTCTAGTGGTAGCTGCAGCTTGCAGGGGGCTGCACGGACGCCTTCCGCCTTGGCCTGCTCTCCAGAAACTTGCAGGGTTGGGAGCTTGTTGGGAACATCGAGTTACAGGTAATCTGCTGGAAATAAACTCACCAGAGCTTGTAATTCAGGAATTGTGGGGCATTTGTTTTAATTCAGTACCATTTATGTCTCTGAGAGGCATTCACAGCAGCCTGTAGAGACTGGAAAGAATTTGCAATCCATTTGTATAAATAGCCTAAATATCCTGCGGGTTTCTTGGTGGGTGTGTTTTTTTTTTTTTTTTTTTTTTTTTTTGTGATGCTTATTGATAGCCACAAATGGACATGCCTAAAGCAGGAAAAAATGAAAAATGTCCATTGGGATTCTGGGCTGCAATTATAGGGAACTGTTTGTCACTTGAAATAGTGCTGAAGAGCTAAAAGTTGCAGCAAGTTTCTGTATGTACCTGTGTTCAGGGAAGACTTTTTGGAGTTTATTTTTAAGATGCTTAAAATAATTGCTTCAAGTCCTATGCTCAGGGCAGAAATAAAAGTTTTACACCTCTTTATGGATTCGCCTATTTAAAGATGGAATCTGTTCATTGTGCCAGCTGTGCTGTATTGCTAGATTTATACTGCAACCTTGGTTTTTGTTATGAAATTCAACTAAGTATCACTCCCATATTTTTCAATATGTTTATCATATTTTCTTTTATTCCAAATGATCTTTTCCTCTTTTTGAGGTGTGGGATATGGGCATTGTAGCTGCTTGATGAAGGAGGAAAAAAGTTATCGACACAAGAAAAGTGTGGTGGCATCTCGAAGTAACTTTTTCTGATGTTTTATCATTTTTGCATACTTCTATTTTTATATATATATATATTTATATATAAAATATGTATATGTATATATGCATAAATGTGTGTGCGTATATGTATATATACGCACGCACACACACACAAATAATGTAAAAAATACCATGGATTCATCCTTTGGGGCAAATTTCTAATTTTACACAGAATTTTCATGAATCATAGCAATAGAAAAATACACAACTCGAGTATTGTACAAATTTAATTGCTTACTGGTAGTGTATACTAGCTTGGAATTAAACTGTTGGAAAACATGAATTCAGTTGTTAATTTTGATTTTAATTATGCTACAAATGAAGGCAATGACTTCTTCTGACTTTAATCTCAGCCACAAGTCTTTTCTCTTAAGGCCACTGTAGGCCCATTCTGCCTTACGTGAATGTGGCAGCTCTCTGGTAGGACACATACTTTCACAGGTGTCTCTGCTAACTTATTAGTTTTTCTCTGGCTTGCAGGGATTAGAAGTTAACATAGACCAACAGCCTTTGGGCTGAAAAAGAGGTTGGTGGAGAAAGACAAATTTTAGTTCCCATTTCTCTCTATTTATTGAAGGTCTAGTGTAACCTCCTAGTTCATTAAGAAAGACTTGTGTTCTCATCTTTGCTTTTATTCTGTGCAAAGACATATATATACATAGATAATTTTTTCACTGCTACCTTGTGAAATGGACAGGAGCAGCATCAGTTAAATTGGAGCAAGCTCAGCAGTGGGCTGCCAAGGTGGCCAGGGACTGATGCACTTCCAGTGTGAAGAGAGGCTGATGTTCTGGGCTTGCTGGAAAGATGGAGCCTGGGGGAGACTGAAGAGCAGTCTAGTCCCCATGGGGAGGTCAAGAAGACTGAATCAGGCTCTTTATGTTGCTGCATAGTAGGGGGGTGAGAGGCAGTGGGCATAAATTGAAATGAGAGGTTCAGATTGCACTAAAGGAGAAACCTCCTCTCAATGGGGATGGTCAGCTGGTGGGACAGGTTGCTCAGAGAGGCTGCACTGTATGCATCCTTTGTGAGTTTTGAGACCTGGCTGGATAAAGCCATGAACAACCTGATGTGACCTCGTGGCTGAGCCTGCCTTGAGCAGGAGACTTGAGCCCTCCTGAGGTCCCTTCCAACCTGAGTTATTCTGTACCTGTAAGAAAAAGGAAAATGTGCTAGCTGATCTTTTGCATTCATATATTTATGCATGATTTCATTTTAAAATGTGTTCTGCCTTAAGTGACATGTGACTTGGTCCATGACAATGTTTTGGAAAACTTACAGCAGCACCACAGGATGCTGGGTGATGGTCTGGGCCCAGGTCCTTTAAGAGTGAGAAGCTGGCAGTAGACTAGTGTATTTGAAACCAAGAATGTAATTAGGGATTCCAAATGCTGAACTGAAGTGCCCCTGCCATGTGATCCTTGGAACGGGCTCAAGAGAGATGAATGAGGGTTGTGTCAATAGCAAAAATTCAAGTGGTAGTTGATGGGATCCAGAGCCTCCTTTGGTTTGTCTCCTTCCTTGGCTTGGCTTTTTCCCTGCCTTTCTTTACATTCTGTTTTGTGATTTCTGTTTGGAACTCGGTCCTGATTGCTTTTACAGATCTGTTTCCACAGCATGATAACTTCTAGCAACTCGATTTCCAGGACTGTCATTGAACTGGAGAAATTTAAAATAGGGGGGATTACTAATGTCTTGACTTTTCGTGTTGGCATTAGTCCAAGTGATTTCATCAGGATTTGTTCTGCTCATCAAGAGGATATGTAGAGAACAAACACTGCAATGGGCTAATGTAACTGTCTTGGTTTTACTCTAAAATTATAACTGTTAAACCTCATAGTGGTGACAGAATTTGCCACCAGTCTTACAGTGTTTTAAGACTAGTTAGGCTTGAACTGTGCAATGTTAGCTGAATAAGAATTCAAGCCCTCTCTGTTCAAAGCATACTTTTCAACAATTCCTTTTCTGAATGTATTTGAGTCTAAATTTTTAGAAAGAAAGAGAGGAAAGGAGTTCTTTGCTTTAAATGGATATACCCAAAGATAGAGTGTGAGAATATACCACCTTAAGACATGTTCATCATCTGCTGTGCTACTAGAAAACATTTGGATGCTCTGATAGGTTGCTCATTTTATAGCATCTCTAATCTGTTGAAGGAGTAGAATAAGGTCATACTCTTATGTTGCAACCACTGGAAAATATTTTGGGGATCAAATTTGATTTATCTG